GTTCAACTGGTTAATTGTTTTAATTATCAAGAAGTTTCTCTTTAATTCCAGGTTGTTTCTCTCCTTGATTAGATTTATTATTTCTGCCACTGTTATACAATGAAGACAATTGCCACTCCGTCCCAATGCAAGGGCACACAGAGCACAGTGAAAAGAGTAGCAGAGGGTCAGCAAGGCTATTAACAAGAAAGTAGTCCTGCCTTTTCAAATGAAATACACCAGGCTATTATTACTTTAAAGGAGCTTTGACTTAAGACTAATGTTGGAAACAACCATCCTTTACTCTGACTCATTGTGCCTTGTTTTGTCTTGCTTTTCCATGCTGGGTCTTGCCTTGCCTTGTCTTAACTCATCTTGTCTTGCTTTGCCTTGTGCTTTTGCTTCATTTCAAGTTTAGCTGAGCTAGCAGTTGAGCTAGCTCAGTTGAGTTAGTCAAAGCTTAGACTGAAAGTAATGTTTTATGTTGCTTTGGATTATGCTACTTATAGATATCTTTTCTGAAGTTTTAAATTTTATATAGTTTCTGTACTTTAAAAAACAAATTCTAAAAGTGAAAATGATTTTCTAATTTATGAAATATATTTATATTCCTGTATTATAATGTTTATTTGAATTTGTGTTGATTCAGCTCAAAATCTGCAATGAAATTAAAGTAGTAACTTCTTATAGGGTTTGTTGAATGAGAGAAGCTTTCAGTAAAGCTCCTTTGAGAGAAAGAAGAAGAGAAGCAGAACTTTTCCATAATTACCTGCAGTGAAAAATTATTTTTATCCCTTTTGATCATTTGTATATTTTAGTTGCCTAACTAAAATGGGATTATAATAGGATTAAACAATAAAAGCTATTCCTCTTTTGTGGTAATCTACTGAAATTAATGAGATTTTACTCACAAGGAAACTTATTTCAGTTGGAATAAATCATAGTTATTATCCGAATTGGAGCATCATATAATTAGAATAACAAACTTCTACATTTCTTAATTGATCTAAGCTGAATAAGATTAATCCAGGAATTAATTATAGGTCTTCAAAATTTAATATGCTCATAGATTTTTGTGAATCTGTTCTGAAATTCTTTGAAAAAGATGCAGATTTTCAATTGTTAATTAGGAGAATTTGGTTTCCCAAACCTTGAATTACACCATTTTTCATATTTTTGGCTATTACTAAATTACTATCATTAGTAAATTTCTAGAACTTTTGGCTATTACCAAATTACTAACTGCCATTAGTAAATTTCTAGAACTTTCTAGAAATCCTTCTAAATTTCTATTTTTCTATTATATCTTATAGGGCATATGTTTAATAAATAAAAAATGAATAAATATGTACATTTATGCTTGTTTGTTTTTCCAATTCTATTTTTCCTAGGGCTACATGAAGTAAAAACAACAACAACAACCATAAGATTTGGTATCACAAGTAGATAGATGTGTCTCTAAAGAACATGGTGCTTCAATATTTTCCAAGAATATTCTATATCTGTTCCATAAGCCAGTTCCCCATCTGAAAATCTGGTGATGAGTTAATGAAGATTTCCAGCTTGTGAAGATTCCAAGAACGAAAAATTACATTTAGCAACTGGCGAGAAATGCACTTGCATGAATAATAAATAATAAAAAAGACACTAGTACATGTAACATTACTACTATGTGAGTTGCATTGTTTACCAATATATTTCTGGGTGCAATTCAAGGTGCTAGTGGTCACCTTTAAAGCTTTATGTATTTGTGATCAGGTTATCTGAGGGAACATCTTTTTCCAAGAGCTTCTACCCACCAATTTGATCCAGAATGCTCATGCTGAAGATCTAATTAATTAAATAATGGCAGCTGGGATCAACTCCCCTCCTCACCAGCAGCCCCCTGGAGGGGAGTTGACCCCGAGCATAGACCACATGGAGCAGCGCAGCCAAGGACATGGCTGCCAGGCAGCATACACAAGACTCTGCTCTCACGTCCCATCATGCACAGTTGATGCTGCGGGGTGCAGGTAGAGAGTATGGCCGCCATGGCACTGCTGGAAAGCCTAGGCGATTTGTGGTGGGCCCTGGAGGCAGTGAGTGGCCCTGTGAGCAGGCGGGGTGGGGATGGGGTGGAGCAGGGGCGGGGCCAGTTTTTGGGCACCCGATCTCTAAAAGGTTCGCCATCACTGCCCTAGACTAATGTATGTATAATATCTTTCAAATTGTCATCATACCATGATATGATTGTTGTGATAATATCTTCCATTTGGAATTTTAAAGATGGCAATCAGCAAGAGTTATTTTGAGACAGAACACAGTTTTAGCTCAGAACCTCAGTACATTTTCAGAAAAAAACTATTAGAATAAAAAATCATAATCATAAATGTCTACATAGAACCTAGAGTGAAACAGTGCAGAATCTGGGTGAACATCCACAAAGAACCCAGAGCAGACATAGTCAATGCAATCAAGATGATGTGGTGCAAACAGTGGCAGAGGACAGCTTAATGGTAGCAGCACCCAGGACAGCAGAGAGCAATAGTCAGATACAGAGAACCCAGGGCAACACTGAGCAACCAGTGAGAGTTCAGCACCCAGGGCAATGTAGAGCAACCAGTGGTGGAGCCATGGCCAGCTGCAGGGCACAGAATAACCTGTGGCAATATAGAGCACCAGTGGCATCAGTAGCTATGGTAACCCAGGCAGGTGACTGTAGGACAAAAGATTGGGGTTAAGAGGCCTAGGTACATCCTAAGCATCCTGAGAATTCCTGGTCTAGCAGGATTTCAAAGAAGGTGTGTGGGCAAATTGGGAATGCACAGACTGCAGAGTGACAAATGAAAATTGTAGCAATGTGGAAGAAGTTAAGGAATTTTAACATTAGCCACAAAATGAGCTAAATTTCAAAACTAGCCAGGAGAGGAGCTAAAATAAGCATTACTTCAGAATGAAACTCAAAAGATTATAACCCTCCATCAATTAACTAAATTTTAAATAGTGTTTCAATTTTTTTAAAAAGATTAGATTTTTGAATGTTATAATTTTTAAATTTGTTATAATGTTTAAATTTTAGACTTTTATAGAAATATTAAATTTTTAAAATTGTAAATTTTTATTTGCCACCCATCTCATAGCAAACGACTCTTCAAAATGATGCGATAAAAGGGGAATTCATCAAATTTGAAAACACACACAGCTGGCAGGAATAGCCAACTTTTAGAAGATAGGCTCAAGATTCAGAAGGATCTTAACAGACTTGAACACTGCCTCTTATCTGATAAGATGAAATTCAGTGATGAAAAATGTTAAGGTTTTACACTTAGACAAGAAAAAATAAATAAAAATGCACAGGTATAGACTTGATGGTACCTAATCCAATAGCAGTAACTGTGAGAGGAATCTAAGAATCCTAGACAATCACTTAAATATGAGCCAACAAATGTGGTGTTACTTCCAAAAAAGTCAACATAGTCTGAGGCTGTATTAATAGAGGGACAGAATCAAGATCATGTGGATTGTTATATTGCTTTATAATGCCTTGGTAAGACCACACTTGGAATATTGAACCCAGTTTTGATACAAAAAAAGATGTTGAGACTCTTGAAAGTATACAGAGAAGAGCAACAAAGATGACTAGAGGACTGAAGGCTAAAAAATATGAAGAATGCTTGCAGGAATTGGGTAAGTCTAATTTAATAAAAAGAAAGATTAGAGATGACATAATAGCAGTCTAAGGGGCTATCACAAAAAAGAGGGGTCAACCAATTCTCTAAAGCACCTGAAAGTAGGACAAGAAGCAATGGATGGAAGCTAATCAAGGAAAGAACCAACCTAAAACTAAAGAGGAATTTTCTGACAATTAGAACAATTAATGTGGAACAACTTGCCTCCAGAAGTTGGAACTTATTATGGAGAAATCCAGCCTACATCACTGTTCATCAATACTCCATCACTGGAGGTTTTAAAGAAGAAATTGGATAGCCATTTGTCTAATGTGCTAGATCAGTTGTGGTGGACTTATGGCACGTTGCCAGAGGTGGCACTCGGAGCCCTCTCTGTGGGCACATGTGCTGTTTCCCCAGCCTTGCCTCCCCCCATGACTCACTCCTCACCAGCAGCCCCCTGGAGGAGAGTCAACCCCAAGCGTGGCCCACACGGAGCAGCGTAGCCAAGGACATGGCAGCTAGGCAGCATACATAAAACTCTGCTCTCATGTCCCATCGCGCACAGTTGATGCTGTGGGGCATGGGCAGAGGGTGTGGCCACCATGGCATTGCTGGGCTGCCTGGGTGACTTGTGTGGGTCCTGGAGGCGGTGAGTGGCCTTGCAGGCATGCGGGGTGAGGATGGGGTGGGATAGGGGTGGGGGCAGGGCAGGGCAGGGGTGGGAGCAGGGGCAGGGCCAGCTTTTGGGCACTCGGTCTCTAAAAGGTTTGCCATCACTGTACTAGATAGAAGTCCTCCAAGATATTCCAACTCTGTTATTTTGTTATTCTTTTACCTAATTTTTCTATAGTTCATTTGTTTTCCTGTTATGGACTAATAAGTTGCCTATTTCTGGTTCTTCTGTTTATAACAAACACAAATAATTTATTAATAGCATTTCCCCCTAAAAATTTCATATAATCCTGGAGAAAAGAATTTTTACATTTCCTAATGAAAACAATGGAGACAAATTTGGACATCCTTTTGAAAAACAACAGAGGTTATATAGAAGCTAATTCTAGTGCTCATGTCTAATAAACTATAATGGATATTAAAAATATAGAAGTTTGCTCAATCTTAGATGATGCACATAGCCATTGTTTTTCTGTGCATCTGTACATTTTACTAACAATGTAGGTAAATACAATGCCCTTGGAAATTGAGTTGAAGAATTACATCAGCACCATCAAAACTACTTAGTGTGACCATTCCCTTATGTATAGATGCCATTGGTATTGCTTCATTTTCCATGTGAGTGAGCTTGAAATGTTGACGTCATTCTATGTGGGTCTCATGAAATTTGCAGCATGATAATATAGGTGACAGTTACGCATTTATTTACCTTGACTCATACATTGCTCCAATCAAACCAATTCTGATGAAAGGTAACCTTAGATACAAATTTTAAGATGGTATATTGCAGCTAGAAAACTAAATCCTTTTTCTCTCTTTTGGTTTTAACTGTGGTCTTTTAACACTAAGGTAATGAAAAATGGGAGAAAAATCTCTAGATGTCAATGTCAACCAGGTAAATATCATATGCGGTGGTGGGATTCAGCCAATTCACACCAGTTTGGCAAAACCAATAGCTAATTTTTTATTGCCCAGTTCCAGAAGCAGCATCCAAAGAGAACCAGTTATTCAGATACTTGAATCCCACCACTGATCATATGTCAGTATCATTCATTGCTGCTCAAAACCAGGTTTCCTAAATGTACACTATTGAATCACATCTGAAAAGTTTAAATCTGCTATAAGAAATGTGTTGCCAATTTCTTGTTGTGTAAAAATGGAAGGGGAACATGTAAGGAAACTCGAAATAAATCTGCCATTTTGTATACATCAATGTGATTCCGATTATGGAAGAATAAAACTATAAACACCCAATCTGCTGCCTCAAGCCTTTTTTTCTTTTAAAACTTTCTATTACTTTTTCATGCTATTACTTTCAATATTTTTTAAAATGTCAGTTTTTTTTCCAGCAGCATCTTTTTTTTGATATTTATGAATTGTTAAAACATATGTCTTTAAAAGTGTATCTCTGATCCTCTTAGGTATTTTTAATGTTTGCTGACATTAGACTACTGTATTTTTTTTGCTATTCACATGGTGGCAGTGATTACTAAGGCCTGAGAAAATCTGTTTATTTCCCATTGAGATCAGAGGATTGATTAGTTTGCATTGTAAAAGTTTTTGTGAAGGTATTACTTGACATGATGTGCAAGTAAATATTCAACACAAGATGGGAGATTTGCTCAGAATTTGGGAAATAAATAAAGAATGGTAAGGTTAGTGTTGGTTTTTATAGTTGTACTGAACATTATAAAAATTACATTAACTTCAGTAAAGTATAAGCCATTTTTATAGCTATATATTCCCAAATAATATATATTAAGCATATAAGAAAAAAGTACAGGGAGAATAAAAAGTTGTTATAGAGTTACAAGTTGTTACACAGTTATTTTCCTCTTAGGGGAAAATAAACTTTTCAAAGTGATAGATATGTATATAATTTATATTTCATCTTCCTACAGCATAATGTCATGTCGAACACAACAAATATATTGGATTTTGTACTTGTTGGATTTTCTGAAAATCAAGAAGTTCAAATTTTACACAGCAGTGTTTTCTTGATAATGTATCTTTTTATCTTGGGAGGAAATCTTTTGATTATTTTTCTGATACTGTTTAATCATTGTTTGCACACCCCAATGTATTTCTTTTTAATCAATTTATCTATTGGTGACCTTGGTGGGACATCTGCCATTATACCCAAATCTATAATTAATGCCCTCATGAATTCTAAATGGATTTCATATTCTGAATGTGTGACACAATTGTTTTTCTATCTTTCTTTCTTGTCATCCAATTTCTTCTTTCTCACTATCATGGCCTATGATAGATACATTGCTATCTGTTACCCACTGCACTTTGCATCCATAATGAAGTGGTCCAGTTGCATTAAAATGGCTGGAGGGGCCTGGGTTATTGGATTTCTGCATGCAGCTCTTCATACAGGAAATATTTTTTCAATGCCTTTCTGCTCCAATATCATCAATCAATTCTTCTGTGAAGTTCCACAATTAATCAAGCTCTTTTGTCCTGGTTCTTATCTTGGTGAAACCTGGATACTTATCTTTAGTTCAGGCTTAGAAATTGGCTGCCTTTCATTTATTATCTTGTCCTATGTGTGGATCTTTACCACGGTGCTGAGAATGTCCTCAATTGAGAAAAGAGAAAAGGCCTTCTCCACTTGCATCCCCCACATCATTGTGGTTTCCCTATTGGTTGGCAGTAGCCTCTTGGCTCACCTGATACTACCTGCTAATTCTCCATCCAGACTGGACCAAGTGTTTACCACACTATATGCAGTTGTGCCTTCTCTAATGAATCCAATAATCTACAGTATGAGGAACAAAGATGTCAAAATTGCCTTGAGGAAATTGGTTGGTTGACAATTATTCTAGCAAAGAATTATAATTTCTCTTTGATGCACCAATTTCTTCATTACCTTAAATTTGAAATTCAGCAAACTAAGGAATTGCAGTTAGATGATGGTGACTAACTAAGCATATTCTATTGAATATACATTATTTGTTTGATGTGTTATAAATTTTGATTTGTTATATCAGACCAAAATAAATATTTTAAAATATTCTTGTAATACCAAGTCTGTTGGGATTTTGAAATGTGATTAATAAATTGTTTTGATCGGTGATAGTTTACTACTGGCATCCTGAAATATTGTGGTAATATGAAATTATAATTAGAAACTAAAAATATGACTGGTTAATATTTAAAGAAAATGGCAAAAATGGGGTAATCAAATAAAAATAGAAAGACTGGATCAGTCATGAAAAACCACACTTTTTAATTAAGAAAAGAATGATCTAAGAGGGATTCTAGTAATATTCCTGCCTTTGTATGATTTCTGCTACATCTCAGTCCTTTATCACACTGATGTATCTGACACACCACTTCTAGCACTGAGTGATGGTTTTGCAATCAGTATCTCAGACCTGTTTGCTTAGTAATAATAAATTTATTCAAACATCCAGCCAAATTTTGAGGGATAGCCTGGGAGCAAGAGGACTTCATCAACTATCCAATTAATCAGTATATAAAATATTGTTTTTTATTAACCTGGGAAAATAGGCAAAAGGTGGAAGTTATGTATATATGCTATTTATAAAGAACCAGTTGGAATCAAGACTGGGAGAATGGCCCATTTGTTTGCATTTTAGAAACTTGAGAAGACTACTTGTTTTGACAACAGTGTTGATGTTATATATATTTAACTTCTTTTTAACTATTTATATCTTTAAGTTAGGTGGGTGTTTGTTTTTATTTTTATGGCATTTTATATTGTGTTTTATCAGCTTTATATTCCATATACTGTGATACACTCTTTTGATTTCAATGAGGCAGAAAAAAATGATAAATAAAATAAGGAAATAAGTAATTTCTCATCTATTTTCTTGCCTCAGGTTTCATTCTCGCATACACACCTGATTTCTTGAGAGAATATCAATTTTGCGTTCAGGTAGCAGAGTTAACAATCCACTCAACAATGTCAAACAAAGTGTGCCTGCAAAGTGTGTTTTTCAAAAGAGGAGTATACAAAAGAGTCATCTGAACTGATCCCAGAATTTTCATCAAATCCAGGGTTCTAAGATTCAAGAGTGACACTGATACCCAGGGATCATGTTTTGTTGCTTCCAAACTCAGGCACCCTGAATTTGGTGTGGAGCTGATAAATCCCTGAATTTGAGATCCAGATCCAGATCCAATCCAAATACCATTCAGATCCCTGAATTTGAGAGACTTTTACCTTTGTAAACAGGCTATTTGCAAATTTAAAAATATAAATTACCAATTTAGGCAAAACAAAAATTATTATTAACGGGTGGGGAAAAGCTCATTTTTTTCATGGGGTACAGAAATCAATTCATTAATAGAAAACATATGTATTTATATGTATGTATATGTATTTATTAATATGTATATATTCTACATTAGTTAGTAGAATACATATGGTATATGTGATGCATCAGAAAGCAAGTGATCAAACAATGAAAGACAATGTTTACCTGAGAATTGCACAAGACAAAACATAGATTCTAGATAATCTTCTAAAGTAGTAAAGTTATAGGTTACATTACTGCTTCCCAGCTGGGTTTTTATCTTTCTTAAAAGTTGAAAGTGTATTCAAGAACTTTCAGAATATGCTCTGTATTGTATAGTTTCTGAAAAAACTCATTCTCACATAAAACAAAAACATGCTTTCATATAGTTAAAAAGAGACTAGATTGAGATGTTAAAAGTGCTAATATCATCTTTTAAAATGCTAACAATGAAGGCTAAAATTTGAGGCCATAGCCTTAGCTTGTGCATTGTTTCAAATCAAGAGAATAGGAGTAACCCAGGCTGCAGCTAATTGTCACTCCTCAGAATGTTGCTGCAGCCCATGGTCACTACCTGGAATGTTTATTCTGTTGCTAGGCAAATAACTTAATAGAACCTCTGTTCTATTCTCCTTTTCACTGGACCATGACATCAATCACACATTTTCCCAATGACCAGCTCTCCACTATGTTGCTTCCACAACCTTTCCACTACTGAAAAGGTATAATAATTATTTACTGGAAATTAGTTACATTAGACATTACAGCAAAATCAGTGATTAATTTTGTTTCTAGCATCAAAGAAGTAGAGTAGAAATCTCTTTCTAAGCACATAGGCCACAGTAGCATGTGGATAGTAGTCTCCTCATGTTATTGTGTGTGGGATTTTGAGATAGATGTATAATGGAAGGTGTTGGGGTGATAAAAGTCCAAAAAAGTAACCAGAAGTCAAAGATTAACATTTAATCATTCTTAGTTCTGTCACTGGTCTGAAATTTACTGAAATGAATCCAGATACCTATTTCATTCAAGGCCCTCTGAAACTAGCACAAGCCATCCAACTCATCAAGAGGGTAGTTGGAGGCCAGGCAAATATGGACAGGCCATGGCATATGGCTTCTTAAGAAACAGGAATAGATTATTTTCTTCAGTGGAGGCAGCATTATCTCCTCCCACAATGAGGCAGTAATCACTGTTTAGACCACTAAATAACTTATTTTAAATGCAAAATGTTTTATTTATGATCAAAGAAATTAATTCTATTTCCACAGTTTTAAAACTGCCTTCCATTGGTTCGTAGGAACAATGCATTCCAGCTAATTATTTCAAAGCAGATTATGTAAATTTTATACATTTCCATTATTGATAAAAATATATTGATAGCTTAAAACCTACCTAGTATTGAAGAATGTAAGAGACAGCAATGACATCAGAACCAGAGACAAGTGCTTAAGAAATGTCCAGAAATAAATTTATATAAATCACACTTAAAGTTTTACAAAATTTTGAAAACAGCTATATCAGAACTAACCTAAGTCAGAATAATAATGTTATTAAATAAAGCTTAGGCAGGTTTACTCTTCTTCATCCATTTTTAAACTGAGAATTTCTATAGATTAGATATATACTTTACCTATGAAAGAATCAACTGGGCATATCTTGCTAGATTTTTTCATTCATCTTCCCCCCACTTCTTTGATTCAAATGGCAATGATTCAGGATAAGGAATTGTAGTTTGACAGATTAAGTGCTAACTTTGATCTGAAAGGACATGATGAGACTCTATCTATATTCAGCTGTGTTTCTCTTTGTAACTGGTTTTCCTTTCAGTGAAAAGTGAAGGCAATGACATAGAAAGTTTAATTCAAGAGAATCAAATAAAAAGATAGGTGAAGGAAAATGTCAGAATCTCCACTGTTTAGACAGGACAAGTTTGATATTGTTATTTCTCATGCTATAGATGATTGGATTAAACAGGGGAGGAACTAAGGAATATACGACAGTGAATAATAAATCTAAATGTGTTGGGGTGTTAGAGGGAGGTCTCAAGTAGGCCAAGCAGGAAGTTACCAAAAACATAGAAAAGATTATAAGGTGGGGAAGACAAGTGGAAAAGGCTTTCTGCCTTCCTTTTACAGAACGGATTCTTAACACTGTCTTGAATATCATGGCATAAGATATAATCACAAAAGTAAAACAACCTAGTCCTGCAGTGGCACTGATCACAAGAACTCCAACCTCCGCTAGATTGAATCCAGTGCAAGGTAATTTTAGCAAGTGTGGAATTTCACAGAAAAACTGGTTGACAACATTAGAACAGAAAGGGATGGAAAAGGTACCAGTGGTGTGCAACATTCCATACAATACACCTGTAACCCCCACCAAAATCACTATTTTGATGCAGGCTTTCCAATTCATCACCATTTCATAGTGCAGTGGATGGCAAATGGCGACATACCGATCATATGCCATGACTGTCAGGAGAGACAATTCAAAGCTTCAAAGGTGATAAAGAGAAAGATTTGAGCAACACAACCAAAATAAGAGATTTGTCGGATATCCATGAGAGAATTTACCATGATTTGGGAACAATGACTGAAACAATACCCAAGTCTTGCACAGCCAAATTCATTAGAAAGAAGTACATGGGGCTGTGCAGTTGATGGTCATAAGCCACTACAGAGATGATAAGAAGATTTGCTATTGCAGTTGTCAGGTATAATATGAAGAATAAGAAGAAATGTAGAAGCTGCAGTTGTCGATTTTTTGACAATTCTAGGAGCAGAAAGTAAGAAACAGTGGTTTGATTCTCCATGTTTAATTGGTGACATACCTACAAGGAAGCACAGGGAAGGGAGATTATTAGAGGAAAAGTATGTATGCTATGTCTTGATATGCAAAAAGAAATAATACAAAACTAGACATTATGCACATACTAAAAATATTACGATGCTTGAAGGTGAGGACTCTTCAAAAGCAAGTATTTGATGCACTTGCACTCACTCACAGCTTCATAAAGAGATACAGTGAGAGAGGCAGAATAGAGATACAGACAGAGGCAGAATAGTTTTGGAGAAAAACAGAGCTTTTCTACTTAAATTTAAGTTCTACTTAAAGTCATACAATTAATATCTCTTCCTTGAAACTATATAGTACCTCTGGTTTAGCTCATTTGCTTATGTTTTTGGACTATGTAGCATCTGTTTCTTTATCTGGTCCATCTTGTGCTGCTGTCATTTTGTGATTAAAGTAACAGGAGATTTGAGGAATAAGGAAGATACTTTAATAAATCTTATCCCCTAACCAATTTGAGTAAAAGTTCAGTTGAAGTTGGCTTTCTTCCATCTCTATCTGCAAACTTTCCAAGCACCAAATGGAGACTCTAGAAGTGGAATATCCATTGTCACTTTTTATTAGAATGGTTCTATTTATCTACTAAGTTTGATCTAGTAGACAAAATGTACTGACCAAATACTGTTTATTTGGACTAATAATTAAGGAATCTAGCGATTGATCCTCACTGGTACTTTCCAAGCAGAGGCTGGACAGCCATGTTTGAAAGATACTTTTATTTGGATTTACACATGGATCAGGGAATTGGATTTAACAGTCTAAATAACTAGCTCCATTTTTGGAATGGTTTTTCAATTCTTCAACTCATACATTTCTCAATTATTTTACAGTTTATTACTTATACTATTTTATTGTAATATAGAAATGTGCTGCATTAATGGTATGCTTAAAAGATATTTCCCTGACAAACCATTCATTGATAAGTTTTGTTCTAGGTGTATGCTTTCTTGATTTTTTTCATAGGCATGAAAATTAAAATCTTCCCATCAAATATTATCATAGAATGGGTTTTTGCTTCATAATTTTAACTAAAAATTGGATTGACCAAGTTTTGAGATAACCATGATTTTTCAAAAATGAACATATCTTTGAGTAATTTGACTCAAATATTTGTCAACAACCAGACAATCTACTCTGTTGGGTCATTCTTCCTTCCATGTATAATATTGTATAGGCTTCCACAGATATCCCTTGCCTCATAACCCTTTGGAAAGCTGTAGTCCTTCTTGACTAACTCACAGAAGTATCTGCCAGTTAGCCAGGGAGGTGTAATTTCCTTACCCAATTCCTCAATGGCTTCAACAATAGGAAATATACTGCTTTCACTGGAAAAGTTCTTAACAACTGAGGAAATTTTTAGAGATGTTTCATCCTTGAAAATAACCCATTTTGAACTGTATACTACAGTTAAATCTCAGGTGGGTTTATGATATTTTGCATTATGTCATAAAATGCCTTATATTTTATGTCACAGTATTTTATAAAATTTGTCAAATTTCAGTTCTATGGGAGTTATGGGTTCAGGATTTTGGACTCATTCTGTAAATTAGCCTATTTAAGGTACCTTTATTGAAAATGGCTTGCCCTATATTGCAAAATTCTATCCAGTTAAAGGTTAT